ATCTTTTCTCTTTTTTTTTTTTTTTTTTTTTGTAAATTTTAGGATTGTTACAGAAGCCCTAAACAGTAGGGAAACACTAGATCTAGGAAACCTATAAAACTTAAGAAAACTCAACCCTATTTCTCTTCAAGCTAAAGACCAACATCAATACTGAATTTCAAAATCAAAAGCCTTATGATGAACATGCAAAGCATCAAAGTCCTAAGAAGAACATACCCTGGACAGAAATTCTTCAAGAAAGAAAAAGCAAATGAGCAACAGAGTCTAATATGGGTCCCAACTGTATTCTTCGAGTATCCTGGGCCAACTAGCCTAGTCCAGGTAAGTTATATTTCCTTCTTCTAGATAATTTCTAGTTTATTTTCTTACATTATTAATAGTCTTATCTTTTCTCCTAGTTTCTTTCGTGGTTTTTGTGCGATTTCAAACTAGATTGCCAATGGTGTGTGAGGAACATATTTGTTTTTGTATATCTATCTTCTCATATGCTGCAATTTGATGAATCCCATTATTCTCTATCGATATTTTAGTTATTACGATTGAAGCATAATGATTTCTTCCCAAATTTTCCTAGATTTGGCTATAACGATGTACAGTCAAATCCTTCTTTAGACATGATAATTAACATATCAATAATATTATGATGACCACGTGGGTTATATAACATTTTTAGCTCATTTGAAGGCATGTCACATCTACTATAAATTAGTAGGAAATTAGTCTGACCAGTTAAGTTTTGGACAAAGTGAAGGTAAAAATGATAATTTTCACGGTCTATTGCATGTCTTGGTAGTACTTTGGTAATCTCCCAGGGGTATTAGACCAAACTGGGTCTCGGATAACTAGGAAAAGTTACTTCGATTTAAGTTTTGAGTTTGGAACATCTTCAAATTCAATCAAACAAAGTAGGGGCTGGGGTCGTGGTGATAGCACCTCCACACCCTAGTCACCAAGCTATGATTTCTATTCCCATTGACGCCACTTTACTAATACTTTCCAAAAAAATAACTAAAAGTGGGGTTTGTAAATAATTAGGGTATGGTTTGTATAAAGCCTAGGCTCTAAACAAGCCTACCTTCAAATAGTCTCTAAACAATCAAATTAGAGCCTACCTTCAAATAGTGTCGAGAAATGTGGTTTCAATACTGAAAATTTTTTTGATGGCCTTAAAATATATTTTCATCTTTATTTATAAAGTTTAGAGCTTCAAAATTAGTGTAGATCGAGAGATGTATGAAAACTTGAAAATCTTGAAATTTGATGGCCCAAAACTATGCTACAAAACACACTATTTCCTAAACTTGTAATTGATTTTTATCTCATGTCCATGCTTCTTGATGTCCATGCTTTTTGATGGCCTTAAAATATATTTTCATCTTTATTTATAAAGTTTGGAGCTTCAAAATTAGTGTAGATCGAGAGATCTATGAAAACTTGAAATTCTTGAAATTTGACGGCCCAAAACTGCGCTACAAAACACACTATTTCCTAAACTTATAATCAATTTTTTTTCTCATGTCTATGCTTCTTGATGTCGAGATGATTAATTTGAGGATATTTGGGCATCAAAACAACCTCTTCTAGTGAAATTTTTGAGGTAGTTTAGAGCCTCGGCTCTATATAAACTTTCCCATATAATTAAGACCAATATATTATTAATTTATATAGATATTCTCACTTGGTGAAATTGCGCAATTGAATGTAGTAATTTTTTTTAAAGAAATAAAGTTGCTATTGAGATCACTACATAACAAAGTTTATTGCAAAAATAATGTATCTTTTTTATACTTGCATTTACATTCCTTCCACCTCTCTATAGTAAGATTCCAAAACTTATTTAACACTATTTTCAAAATAAGGTAGAAAGAGGAGTTTTGAAGGACAGATAATAGTTAATTATCTCATCATCAGGGAAATCGTAAACTTGACACATCAGGTCGTTCAAAATAATAGCATCCAAAATGAAACATGTTACTTAACGCCAAATAACATATTTGATTTGTTGAAGTTTGAAGTCTTTAATCCGTACTTGGATTTTTTTTTTATTTTTTTCTTACATATGGATTATCGAGATCAAATCATCGCTTGAGCCTCTTTTCCACCAATTAGGACCAGTTACATGAATTCTAATTCGCTATTCTGGTCTATTGAAAAAGTATATAACACAATCCTATTGAAAAAGTCCTATTGAAGTTTTTATGCTCTCGTTGAAATCATCTCTATTCTGTTCTCATGGAAGTTATAAATCCTATTGAAAAAGTATAACACAATCCTATGAAAGAATGTTTAACTTATTAACTTGTAAAAGATTTTGGAACCACGTTATATGGGAAAAAGTATATAATCATGGAAAAAAGGTCCCGACCACGTTATCATATTCCAACATCTCTTAACTTGATGGAGTAAATATATAACGTGGTCCCATGAGAGCATGCTTAACTGAGAAGGCATAATGTGTTGGAGTTTCATATGTAACCTTTGGTGAGAATGGACAATAGGGTAACCTTTGGTGAGAATGGTGGGAAAGACTTGTTGAAGCTCGATGGTACTACTGTCAAGACCCTAGTCCATTCTCATTTTCAAACCTATGTATTAAAACCTACATAAGTTATACTTGTACACACATGTAGGCGTGCTTTATAACTTATTCAGAAGATATATTATGTAGCGTGATTTACTTCTACCACCTCTAGCAAAATACATATTTTAGAAGATTTATTTCAATTCAGAATTTCGAGAACTTTGAGTTTTGTCTCAGTTCAATAGCAAGACGTCATTATTTTAAGTGAATAGAGGTTGTAATTAGGACTTTTTTTATATTAAAGTTATTCTATTGATTGAGGAGTTTACGTCCCCAAAATTTACTATCTTAATATCAATGGAAAATAGTTTGATAGGGGCTTATACAAAACTTATCCAATATTAATTATAATTAGGGTTTTACCCGAGGGAGTGATTAACAATAAACCCTGGCGGGAGCATGATAGCATTCATCATAGTTCTAAAGGACATTTAGGAGAGATCCTCACCCAGTGGGATCCGCATGCCACACACAAAGGCCCCAACCCTAGGCATGCCATATAATCACTGAATTTTTCTCACAAAAATGGAAGATCAAGCCTCTGTCAATGGAGAGTGCAGAGGTCCTCAGGCCATAGATAAAGTAGTTGGGCCTACAAAGAAGGTGAAATTGGACATGGCCGCTTCAGGTCCCATTGAGCATCGAGCCTACGCTCGCGTGGGCTTGATAGGAAACCCTAGCGATGTCTAATCTGGAAGAACCATCTCTTGCATTCTGGGGAACTTCCGGGCTGGGGTTTTACTGGAGCCTTATGAAAAGCTTGTGATCCAGCCTCATCCTATTTATGATCTTGTGGAGATCCAATTAAGTGGGGGCTGGGGTCGTGGTGATAGCACCTCCACACCCTAGTCACTATGCTATGATTTCTATAATACATTCCAAAAAAAACAAAAAGTGGGGCCTATATATAATTAAGATCCATATATTATTAATTTTTATATATATATTCTCACTTGGTGAAATTGCACAATTGAATGTAGTAATTTTCCTTCAAGAAATAAAGTTGCTATTGGGAACAAAACATAAGACCTTTGCAACTTTATATTTAGTACGAAGTTTATTGCAAAAATAATGTATCTTTGATACTTGCATTTACATTCATTCTACCTCTCTATCGTAAGATTCCAAAACTTGTTTAACACCATTTCTAAAATAAAATAGAAAGAGGAGTTTTGAAGTGGAAATAATACTTAATTGTCCCATGATCAAGGAAGGGTAAACTTGACATATCAGATCTTTCAAAATAATAGAATCCAAAACAAAACATGTTAATTAAAGCCGGAAAACATATTTGATTTGTTTAAGTTTGAAGTCTAAATATATTAATTCACACTTGGATTGTTTTTTTTCTTCTTACATATGGATTGTAGAGATGAAATCATTATTTGAGCCTCTTTCCAACTAATTAGGATCAATTACACAAATCCTAATTCGCCACTCTGCTTTATTTAGAGTCATGCTCTCGTTGAGGATACAAGTCCAATTGAAAAAGTACATAACACAGTCCTATGACAAAATGTTTAATTTATTAATTTATAAAATATTTTGGAGCCATGTTATATGAGAAAAAATATATAACCATGAAAAAAAAGGTCCCGACCACCTTATCATATTCCAACATCTCTTAACTTGATGGAGTAAGTATATAATGTGGTCCCATGAGAGCATGCTTAACTGAGAAGGCATAATGCATTGGAGTTTCATGCGTAACCTTTGGTGAGAATGGACCATGGGGTAACCTTAGGTGAGAATGGAGGGAAAGACTTGTTGATGCTCGAAGGTACTATCGTCAAGACCCCACGCCATTTTTGTTTTCAAACCTATGTGTTAAAACCTACGTAAGCTATATTTGTACACACATGTAGGCGTGCTTTATAACTTATTCAGAATATTTATTATGTAGCGTGGTTTACTTCAACCACCTCTAGCAAAATACATATTTTGGAAGATTTATTTCAATTCAGAATTTTGAGAATTTTGATTTTTGTCTTAGATCAATAGCAAGATGTTATTATTTAAGTGAATAGAGATTGTAATTAGGATTTTTTTTATATTAAAGTTATTCTATTGATTGAAGAGTTTACGGCCCCAAAATTTACTATCTTAATATCAATGGAAAATAGTTTGATAGGGCTGCAACCCTGCCAAAATAAGTAAACACTCATTTCATAACTTATTGAAAATTACAATTCAAGCTTTGAAAAACCGTTATATCGATCATCTCGATTTGAATATTATAGTTGTAAAAAAAAATTATAATTTCAAGCTCTAAAAATAGTTTATATTGTAACAATTTATCTAGACTGTCCATCTCACCCTAAAAATAAGTGTTCATAGATCCACAAGATTAGTACCATTTTTTAAGTTTCAAATTTTGTTGTCGTTGTTGGAAGTTGATTTTAGAGTCGTCATGGAGATTTCAGTTGCTGAAAGTCCTTTTTGGATGAGAATTAAAGGTAAGGCTTTATTTTGTTTTCATAAAGCCCAGGCCTTATATAATTTTTATCCAATATTAATTCTAAGTAGGGTTTTACCCGAGGGAGTGATACAGTATACCCCAGTGGGAGCATAATATCATTTGTCATAGTTCTAAAGGACATTTAGGAGATATCCTCACCATCCATCTCTCCAGGGAAACCGATTCTTTCTAAAAAAGAGCCTTATTTTAACCAATGGGCCCGCATACCACGCACAGTGGCCCTAGCCCTAGGCATGTCATATTATGATCATAGTTAGCAAGTCGGGGGCTTTCAATAAATCGGCTTACCTTAAAATCAGGAAAAATCATTTTTATTTTAAAAAGTTGGATGAAAAAATCGGATAAAAAATATGGATCGGGAAAAATACTTCTTGTAAGGATATCACCAATATATCAAACTAGGCTAAAAAAATCGGAGTAAAAAAATCTGATAAGTTAAAATGTTAGAAATTTTGAAATTATGAAAAATAAAAATTATGTCAAAGCCATCAAGAACTAATCCATTCATAAAAACTTTACTAGACTAATATAATTAAGTCAATTAATTTAGATTCATGACTCTCATCCAGTCATAACCTGTATATCATCTGGTACTTGAGGACAAGCGTTTATATCATTCCCTTGTTCTCTTGACAAGTGATATTTGAATCTTGTTATCCCGACATAAAATCTTTCACCGCAAAAATTGCAATACAATTTATGTCTTCTTTCTTCACAATAATTCCAAAATATATCTTTTGACCTAACCATTGTATCTTCTTTTTTGTTTTTTTAATAAAAAAAAAGAATATATAAGTATACACACATTAGGCGTTCATGCTCTTTATAAAAAATAAAATAATAAGTTCATGATAAATACACCATATGAATTTCTTCATTAAATGTTTTAACAAACATCACACCTACTTATTACATACCAAAAAATACATATAAATTTTCACATTAAATACTTTTAAAAAGATCATATCTACTTAAATGCATACCAAAAAATAGAGCATATATTTCTGGGTGCAGTTTGTATAGAGCCTATCCTCTAAACAATCAAATTAGAGCCTACTTTCAAATAGTGTGGAGAAGTGTAGTTTTAATACTGAAAATCTTTGTGATAGCCTTAAAATATATTTTCATCTTTATTTATAAGATTTAAAGCTTAAAAAATAGTGTAGATCGGCATATTTATGAAAACTTGAAAATCTTGAAAGTTGACGGTCAAAAAATGTGTTACAAAATATACTGTTTCCCAAACTTGAAATCCATTTTTTTCTCATGCCCATGCATCTTGATGTCGAGATGATCAATTTGAGGATATTTGGGCATCAAAATAACATTTTCTAGAGAAAGTTTTGAGGTAAGTTCAAATTTGATTGTTTAGAGCCTCGGCTCTATATAAACTTTTCCATGTATTTTTTTCACATTAAAATCAAGTAGATCTATAAACATATGAAAATCTTCAAAATAGACGGTATAGATAATAGGTTGTCAAATACACTATTTTTAGGACTTAAAATATTTTTATCTTTGATAGTTATATATCTCAATGTCGAGATCATCAATCAAAGGTTTTTCAGCATTAAAACTGCCATTTTCTAATGATTTTTGAGGTGCATCCGTAGCTTTACAATATAAGGTTGCATCCTTACAAAAGCTTTTTCCAAAAAGTAAACCATAAAAGGGAAGGTAAAGTGGTAAACCGAGAACAGAAGGTAAACCTGAGAGCAGCGAACTCTCTCTCTCCCTTGTTTTTCAAGAAGGTAAACCCTGTTTTTGAAAGAAGGTAAAACCCTAAATCTTGAAAACTTTTTGCAATATAAGGTTGCATCACTCTCTCTCTATCTGCCCTGTTTTTCAAAGAAGGTAAACCCTAAATCGAACGGCGAACTCTACGAAGTGGAAGAAGAAACCCAGAAGGTAAACCCTAAATCGAAAGGGCAAATGAAGCATTTAGTCTGATAAGGTATTTGTAAGGCAAATGATTTTATTTACTCATTATTTTCTTTGCAAAATCATGCTGCACACAATTTTTGTAGGGCATTGAAATCATGCTGCACACGGTATTTTCTTTGCAAAATAACCACTGAAATATGCATCATGTTGAAGTTAAAAAGAAAAAAGAAAAAAAAGATCATACCTTCAATCTGAAAATGTGGCTGTGAAGAAGAAGAAAAATATAGCATAAACCCTAAAATAATAAACCCTAAATCCTAACCATACATAAATCTATTGGGGATACAAGTTTCCATTTTCGGATTTTTATTTTTGGAAATAATTTTTTCTTTTAGAAATTACGCAGATTAGGAAAATAGTTGTTTTTCTTTCTAAAAACAATTGTTTACTAAAAAAAAAAAAGCCGTATTTTTGATCCCGTTTTTTTCGTTCCTCATAAAAAACGCGTTTTTAATGGTTTTATGCAATGGTTTAAAAAACGGATAGGTGATCCGGATCGGGCTTCCAAAAAATCGATCCGGATCGGCGAATCGGCGATCCGGATCGGGAATCGGGTGAATCGGTCAGGATAAAGCTTAAAAAAAATTTGAAAAAATTATTAAAATTCATTATAAATATTGTTTTTTAGAAATTCAATAAAAAATGAGGGTACTCCATTAAGAATTTTCATGTTTTTGAATGAATATGCGAATATTGATATGTTCTTTCCCTGCATGAACCACCATTCAGCATTTAATTTACAGTATTTCGTGCTCATCCTTACACTGTTGTTTTTGGGACTCGATATGTGAATAATATGGCTGGGATAGGGTGGCATCAGAATCATCATCTCTCTCGTTTTCTCTTTGAATAATATGGAATTAAAAAAAAAAAAAACAAATTTTCAAAAAAATCGATCATGGATTAAAAAAAAAATCACAAATTTTCAAAAAATTCTATCATGGATTACAAAAAAAAATTCGACCGTGGATTAAACAAAAAAAATCACAAATTTTCAAAAAATTCAATCATGGATTACATAAAATTCGATCATGGATTACATAAAATTCGATCATGGATTACATAAAATTCGATCATGGATTACAAAAAAAAACAAACAAAAAAAACAAACAAAAAAAAACAAAAAATTCAATCGTGGATTACAAAAAAAGAAAAAAATAGTTCGATCATGGATTACAAAAAATTCAATCATGAATTACACAAAACTCTATCATGGGTTACAAAAAAAGCAAAAAACAAAAAATTCAATCATGGATTACAAAAAAAAAACAAACATTTCGATCATGGATTACAAAAAAAAAACAAACATTTCGATCATGTATTACAAAACATTCGATCATGGATTACAAAAAATTTTATCATGGGTTACAAAAAAAAAAAAACAAAAAAATCGATCATGGATTACAAGAAAAGAAAACAAATATTTCGATCATGGATTACAAAAAATTCTATTATGGGTTACAAAAAACCAAAAAATTCGATCATGGATTACAAAAACAAAAAAAATTCGATCATGGATTACAAAAAAATCGATCAAGTATTACAAAAAAATCTATCATGGATTACAAAAAAAAAAAAAAAAAAAACCTACGGAATCGCCGATTCACTGTTCGGACTCGCCGATTCCGTACAATGAATCGCCGATTCACTGTACGGAATCGTCCGGTTCTCTCTAGAACCGGACGATTTCCGATTTTTTGAGCGATCCGGTCCCTTTTCACGATTTTCGAGTCGAACAGGGCGAGTCCGGTTCGACTAGGCGTTTTTGAAATCACTGGTTTTATGAAAAAAAACGTGTTGTTTTGGCGAACTTTTCAAAAAAAACGGTGCTTAAAACGTTTTTTTTAAAAACATGTTTATGAAAAATTCGGCAATTAATCGCCGAATTGTTAACTAAACGAGCCTCTCTCAATAGAGAGTGCAGAGGTCCTCAGGCCATAGGTAAAGTAACTGGGCGTACAAAGAAGGTGAAATTGGACATGGCGTCTTCTGGTCCCATTGAGCATCGAGCCTACGCGCGTGTGGGCTTGTTTGGAAACCCTAGCGATGTCTATTATGGAAGAACCATCTCTTTCAGTCTGGGGAACTTCTGGGCTGGGGTTTTACTGGAGCCTTCTGAAAAGCTCGTGATCCAGCCTCATCCTATTCATGATCTCGTGGAGTTTGAATCGATTGATAGATTGGTGAGGTTTTAGGGCGTAGGGATCATCTATTTCAAGGATTTTCTGGTATTGGTGACTGTGTTTTGTGGATTGGTAATGCTGTTTACTACTTTACATTGCTGGTGCACGGGTGGTTTTGTGTTCTTCTCTTGTTGTTTAGATCAGTGTGTCGTTGCATGCGTTTTTTGAGGTTTGGTTTGATGCAGAATTGTGATTTAAAATTATGGTAGGGTTTAAGTGGATATGCCTGTTGTAAAGTTGAACTTAGAGATGGATTTTAGATCCAAAACTTTGCTTGTTTATCATTTTGACTACCACTATTATGAATATGAAAAATAACTGTGAGCGTTAAGATGGTACATTGTTCATTTCAATTCTTCAAAGATCGTCAGATCTATACTGTATTTGGAGCTCCAAATTCATTGATCTGAGGCAAAAATGGGTTTTCAGTGACTTGAGATGTGTTTTGGGTTCTAAAATTGAAAATTAAGGCGTACACATGAGCCTAAGGATCCCCAAAAACTTCTTAAATAATTTTTGGGTTTTGATGGTTAATGAACGAGCTTGCCATTTTCATATATCTAAGAATCATTTTTTGGGTAAATTTTTTTTTTTTTGGGTAACTGGTAAATTGTATTTTGGGCTACTAATGCTAGTTGTAAGGGGAAAGTAATTGTGCACCGTTGGTGTATGGTTATATAAGAAATTATATAAACGTTTGTGACTACAGTCTACCCTTGAGACTGCAGTCTTAATTCCTATCCTTTCTGTCCTTTCCAAATGAGGTCCTTTTAATGTTGGTTATATAAAAAATTTGCTTCATTTAGTGATCATAATTTTGGGACTTCAGGTTACCAGTGTAACAGGGTTTCTTTGGCATATGAATCATAGTTTTAGGATCCACAACTTGTTGGTCATAGTGTGTGTATATTCAAATATAGTTCACTTTGCTCTTCTATGGTTGTGATTTTGGTTTCAAGAGGCGATGGAGAATTTTTTTGTGAATTTATTGGTCATGATTCATATAGGTGTGTGAGCGCGCTCGCTCGCTCATGTGCATGCGTGTGTATGCATGTCTGTGAGAAGATTATATGCTTCCCTGGGAGAACTTCGTAAATTCACTCCCTCGGGCTAAACCCAATATAGGTGTGTTTTTAAATAAATTTGGGTTGTAACTTCTTCTACCTAGCGACCAACCTCAAATTTTAAATAAATGCACTCTGTATGTGCCTAAAAAAATAATATCCAAAAATTGAACTAAGACTTTTAATTTGGATGGTCACTCTAAATCAAATTATATTTTTATAAATAATCATATAATGATTCTTAGGTGTAGCTAAAAATTTCAGATTGGAAAAATCCTATATATACACGCACGCACACAGACACACACTATATAGATGTATTTATATATATATATATATATATATCTCTATATATATATATATATATATATATATATAGAAGTAAGACGACACCTACTTTATTTTTACTTTTCTT